GGCGTAGAATTGGAGATTTTAGGGTGGCAGACTAAAATCCCCAATTCAGTCTTAGTGTTTAAAGAACTAAAGCGATAGTTAGCCTTCAGGGGAAGAGAAGTGGGAGCTCTGGAGTGGGAGTCAGTATCCTCTTAGCCTAGCCATAGATTTAGGGATTAAACCTAAGATTAGCCAATGATTTGCTATAACACTGAATCAGGGTAGAGAATTAAAATTGCTCCTATTTGACACATACAATATTTAATATATCTCATTCCTTTACATTATCCAACTCACTACATAAAAATAGTAGTTTTGAAAATCCTAAAATTCTGCAAACCAATTCATCTAGAAAGGGTTATCTTTAGAATTTAATATTTACATTTAGGAATAGTTATTATTTTCATATTTAAAATTCGCATTTAAGAGTCGTTGTTAGATAAAACACTATTTTAATCTACCTTCAAAATTAAGGACTAATAGTAGTAAAATGGAATTTAACTAAGGACATCTTTCCTCGCTTCCTCGTGGGATTGATAATCGGGGCTTAATCAGAAAGTTCTATATTACCTGAGCGATACGTATACTTGCGTTTATATCATTGCGAGTATATATAATATATAAAATTAAGCATATAAAAAAGTCGCATCATTATCCAAAAAACTTTTGCTGAGTAAATTAAAATTTTTGTTATCATTTTAATTATTTTCTAACCAAACAAGACTTATAAAAAAAATAATGAGTAATATTGATGAGCTATTTATTTTCTAAACAAAAGATTTTATCCAGCTTATAATTGAGTTACTTGTTAATATGATAAAAATGAATGAGCATTAAAATGAATAATTATAATAAAAATATAATTGCCTTAAATAAATGAACAACTAAGCAAATAAGTTTTAATCTTGTTTTAGGCACCTTAATATGTATGAGACTGCTAACCCTTCAAACAAATTTCTTCTCAATAAATACATTTACAATTAATTGCAATTGTCTTCACATTAAAATATTGAAATGGTTTAACTCATAATGATTAAAATAATAATTATGATTTCATTTTAATTTCTTTTAATCATGTACCGTACACCTATTATGAGCATTTTGAGATGCAGGGAATGCGCCTAGACCAGTATACCATCCATCAAGTTTAAGAGGATTTTTTTTATTTAATTGAGTTGATTGAGTTAAGATTTGTGGACTTCAATTAATGTTATTTTAGTTATTTACTAATGAATAGATTGATTATAATTCAATGAGGATTGAATTGACATAAGGGTTATTTGAATTAGGATTAGATTTTTGTTTATGATTAAGTTGGCTTTGAGATTGTTTTAAATATTTGGTGGGTATTCAATTTTTACATCCTCTAAATGATTTTCATGTTCTTAAAGCACATTTAATTCTTTAATTTGAATTAAAAATTAAAATGAAGAAGAGAAATGGTTTGTACAGTTGTGAAAATTTTATTTGATTACTTTTTAAAATAAAAATTAGTATCCATTAATTAATTGAATTTTAAAATTCTTTTGGTATCTAGTATTATTATTCAATAAAATTTTAAAATATTAATTAAATTAAAAAAAAAATTAATTACCCAACTAGCAACAGAACAAAGCTTTCCATAGTGTTGGTTTTTTGTTTGAGGGTACTTTAAGTAGTTCTAAGTCAACTTCTGTTAATATGTAAGATTGTGGAGGCTTGTTAAATATGTATGTCATTTTTGAAGAGAATCATTTACTAAAAGGATGAATTAGTGTCCCTAATGATTAGCTTCATATGTTAAATTGAATTGGCCTCAACTATCTAATTAATTACGTTGGTTGGTAATAAATAATTGATTGGTGCTAAAAAAGACTGTTCAGAACTCTACTTTAACTTTATTTTACTTTCAAGTGCTTAATTAAGGTATAGTTTAGTTTTATTTGGTTCTAATGATATTAGGTCTATTGGCCAATAGTTATTCTAAAGACCAATTGGAATGGTTTAATGTCAAGTATGGAGTCTCCAATTTTAAAGTCAAGGATAAAGTGATGGAAATTTATTTTAATTTAGTGATTGATTTTGTTGGAGCTTTTGGGATATATTTTTGCTCAACTAGATTAGACATAGATTAAACTATCAATTTAGCTTGTACATGGCCAATCTAACCTAGTTAGGCCTAGATTAATAAGCTTTCGTAAGTCACTTTAATTATAATTTGAATTGAATAAATTATTGTGTTCAAATTAAGCTAAACTAAGTTGTTTATTCAAACATAAAAAACTAATCCATGTTATTTACAACTTAATATGGTTTAAGGTCTTACATAAAGATTGAGACTACTCCATATAAGGTTTAAAGTCATAAAATCTACCTCTAGGCTATGTTAAATCTTGGATCTAAGTTCATATTCTGTTAAGTTGATTAACGGTCAACCAACCTTGACATTAGTTTATCTCAAATGATTTTTGAGATGAATAATTAACATATACTTCATTACATACTAGTCTAACATGGGTTAATTTGAGACCATTTAATGATTGGATTTTAGTATTTATGATGTAATTGAAATCATTTTGACAACTAGTTTAGTTTGATTGTAAATTTTTTATAAGGGTTCATTTGATTTATAATTATTTAAGAAACTAGAATTTGGAACCAATTCGATGGCTAGTTTATGATTTGTGCTTTGTGTAAAAATCATGTCTAATCAAATAATTTATTTTTTAAATTTAAAAAATGACTTATATCATACGTAATTGATATTTTTTGGATTGCAACATACAAGAATAGGACTTTGAAACCTCGAAAATCAAATGAACCTCAAATGAACCTCTAAATCATAAACTATATCATAAATCAAATGAACCTCTATATCATACATATTTTTTTGATCTTTGAAAGTAATGTTATGCTATAAAGGCATTAAGACTTTTCAATGGCAACATCCAAGAATCTCATTCTTACCTATGATTTATCTCTTATTTTGTAATGGATATGTACATATTTATCATGTAAAACCTATTATTCTTATTCATCCTTGGAAAAAATAAACTAGATAAAATAATGATGCTATATTTTTTCTTCAATAATAAAGCATAAGTTATACTCGATTTCAAATTAGATTTATCGCTTGGAAATACAATTTTCTAGCATTTTTTCCTTCCCAAAATAAATGTTCTACAAGAGATTTAGCTAATGCCAGTTAACTTAGGCTTCATTATTAATTATTCTCAATTTATTTATTCGTTATTATATAATGAATTTGTATTCCACAACCAAAAAATTATCAGAAAAAAATTTTGATTGCAAGAGTAATTAGAACATCTTATGCTAAATAAAAAAAGACATTGGTGGGAAAATTATCAATATTATATAACTCTTATTTAATTAAACAACAACAACCATAACAACAACTACAACAACAATTGTAACAACAACAAAAAAATGCTTTTGCTCCACTAAGCAAGGTTGGCTATATTCATCATCCTCCTCTTATTCAACTAAGCATTTACATAAATTTCCCATTGAGTTGCAATGTAAGCATTCACACAAATAGTTGAACTACCCTATCATTAAGTGGTTGTGTAGGCCTTGCATTCTTTTCATAACCCTACATAATGAGAAATTATGCTTGTTAAAAATTACAAGCAATATTATATAAAAATAACTACTTTTTTTTTGCATTCTGAGAAAACTTACAGCTATTGCAGCATCCTTTAGCAAATTGAGAAAGCTTACAGCTATTGCAGCATCCTTTAGCAAATTCAGTTGCTCTATAGATATAGTTCTGATCTGTAAAAATGAATTGTATTATTTATAAGTTAACAAAATCACAATAAATTTTAAAAATTAGACTGCATGCTGAAATTTAATTTATAAATGAGAAAATATTCGTTACCTTTTTATTGATAGTCCACGTGACACCTTCAGTGCATGGTGGAATAGTGATAGATCCCTTCAATCGATAGTAGTATTTTCCGAACTTTCGAATTATCTCCATTGGATCAATGTTTCCAATATCCACCTTTGCATCAATTTTCTTACTTATTGTATGAATATGCTTCTCAACCTAATATTAAGAGTAAATTTGATTACTTTAATAATGATAACATTAAATTTAAAATAAAAATAAAATTGTGCATAATTAAGTATAAATATTTATAGATATACATAACTTATTGCTTGATAATAAACCATACTAATGTAGTAAGATGGTGCATACATGCATAAAATTAATAGAATAGAAACTTAGTACCTTTGTAAAAAATGGATCTGGAGCTCCAACTTCATATAAGAAGCTTACCATAGCCATTTGTTGGTCAGTGGTACGTTGGTGAAGCAAATGAACCTCTAAATCAAATCTGAGTTGGCCATTATATTAATAAATAGGACTTTTAGTATTGAGATAGTATGAATATAAAAGAGAGTATTGATGATATACTACATCATAAAATAAGAATATGACATGAAGATTTTTAACATGTTGGATCTAAAAAAATGTTCATAATGAGTCAATACATGAACTAGTTGCATGGATAACTATTCTAGGTGTTAAAGAAAAAGATTAGCTTCTAACATAAATCTTTAATATCATACCTTTTTAAAATTATTAAAGAAGGTGTTTTGCAACTATATTCTTTATTTTTAATGAGATATACAATTTAAATATTTATTTATAACACTTACTGTTTTCCATTAATTATGTTCTCTGAAGGCGTGTGCCAGTGCACTTGTTTTAGTGGATATTCTGTTTTATTGATCCATACAGCACCCACTACATCTTCCCATTCGATCTGTCATGTCAAAAACATCTCATAATATTAGCTCAATGACATTTATCATACCTAAAATAGTCTTCATAATTTTTTTTTAAATAACATAAGAAAGCTTTTTAATGTACCACGATGTTGTGACCAAGATTCTTCATCACTGCGTTTTTAGGATGATAACTCCATTTAAGGTCCTCAGGTTGATATACTAACTCACACTTTTTATCATCTATTCGTACTGGTGATTGTGAGTGCCCAATTTTACATGTCTCCCAGTCTTTACGGATATCTCCCCAATGATCCGGACCATTCCAAGCCCCCACTGTATAGCTAAACTCCTCATGATCTGTCATTTTGACATCATTATAACATAAAGTATAAAAAAAGAATAATATTTTCATAAAAATAAATGTGATAACTTTTGCATATCAATAATAGTTCATATACCGTAGGCCATTGCACCATGATTGATGTAGAAAAAAGCCAGTATAGTTATGATGAGGACAAGTTGCTTGAAGAGTTCCATTATTGATCTCAATAACAACTAGATAGTAAGGGAAAATTGATATGAGAATGAGATTTGAGTAAATTTGACAGAAATTTATAGTAAGCTAGGCTCTATCCATCCCATCCATGGTCAAAGTTAAGTAGCGTTAAAATATTGTCAAGGGACAGAGCTCCAGCCACTTATTATTATAATTTTTTGGACATTTATGTACATATCACTATATTCTAATAAGTTTACACATTCAACACCTACTTATTATATGTATACACAAATCATATATCTCAGATAAAAAATATTACCATATTAACTTTACAAAAATGAAATGTACCTTTTCATTCATAGAAAAAGTGACATGTATGTAAAAATTGAAGCTTAGGTGTTTGAGAAATTATTATTTGTCAAAAATAAGGCTGCCAAATAGCCGGCATTCAAGCTAGAAGCACGATCCAAATGAAATTGGTAAAAATAAATTAGACAGTTTAATCTTCACAGCATTTAATAATATTTTTTCAAATCAAAATATTGTGTCAAATCCGAGTTTATCATAAGAGATAAGTTTATAAATCGTAGAAAATAATCATGATATTGTTTGGAAAAATTAAGCTGCATACCACACAAAGCTTACTCTAAATTTCATTTTTCCTGAATAAAATTCAAAATTAAATCATGTTGGTAACAATGATTTAATTCACTTTTCTATTTGTGTTCCATTATAACGGAGAAAAATTTCTTCCTTAGTTTCATTAATTAAAATAGAATAAAGTGAATAATATTAAACAATAACATTTCAGAATATTTAAACTTATGGGGCTGATCAAATTATATCAATGAAATGATTTATTTCTTGTATGTTAAACGACAGAGAGAGCTTTATGCGGTAAGCTAGATCTCGGTAATTTTCTTTCCGAGAGCACAAGCTAATGATTTCAATAATGCTCATAATTTTCTCATCTGATCAAAAGTTAAAAGTTTGTTGTCTGAGTATTCAAATAAATTGATTAATTATTTGCTCATAGAGAACATGCACCTAAGAGCATCACTTATTTGTCTTTCTTTCAATTTTGTTTATTTTAAAACATATACATTTGTTTGATTATTTACACTACTGAATATGCATTATTTAAGATTAGTATTGAGATAATTAATTTGTCAATCACCGGAATCGAAATCCATTCGCCCGCTTCAGATAGACATTTTAATTTACATATAGATTTATGTTTTGAAAAAAATATGAAATAAAACTGACCTCATATTTTTCCTAGTTTAAATGAAAGAGCTCTATACCTCAAACCATATAACTATCCCGAAGGATAAACATAAGACTTGGGGATGAGGCTCGATCAAATAAACTAAGAAATGTATGACGTCCGTTTGGTTTGCGAAACCATTTTATTTGCCGATAATTTCCCTTATTTAATATGAAGAATTAAATAGGGTTTATATTAAGCTGGGTTCGGAAAAGCTTTCTATAAGGGAAAGCCACTATAGTTAATTACATCTTAGATATCCAAAGTCACCTAAGAAAACTCTCGATAAAAATCAGGAAATATTATCTTCAAGGATTTCAAAAGGATAGGACTGTTCAACAAGATCAGACAGAGAGGTGTGAAATGGGATTGGCTCAAATTTAGAGCATTTTGTTTTTGAAACACAAAGGAGGAAGAACTAGGGGATGGCATGGATCCGAAGGAAAACCTCGGTGACTTCCCAGTCTATCGTATAATTTGGCTTCAGTTTTGAGGAAAAGTTATTTAAGTGTTTCATCCTGTAGATTTTATTTGTTAGGGCTTACATTTGTGAGAAACGATCACAAAAATAGCCTGGAAGATGTGAGGATTTAGGTTGTGACGAACGACAACCTCGGAATCCTAAGACGATTTAGGGCTTATATTGTACAACAGAGCTATATAAAGGCCTAAAGATGAGGTGAGGATTTATGTTGCATAAGAAGACAACCTCAAAGTCTTATGGCTTAGTTGTTTAATTATAAGGAAGGAAGTTGGTTTAGCTGATGTAGACGTGTTTTGCTGTTGAAGATGGCCGCGCTGCAGACAATGCTAGCTCCAAGCTCCTTGCCATGATGAGTTTAAGTTTTCTAGGGTGTCTAGTTATGATGTCAAATCAAGAAATCAAGTGTTTCCTAAGGTTATGTTTATTTAAATATTATGGGGGATGTTAAAGATGATTAGAGCGACATCAATTAGGATCCTACGGTTCCCTCATTCCGGCACGACTATTTCTATTGGATTCACTTAGTCCAAATGAATTTACTAAACTCAACTTAATGAGTTCCATAATTTCATTTAGACCGTGGGAAGTCTCGTTAGCAACCGTAGGTTATCTCCTTTGAGGGATTCCCGATCATCCGATAGAGACGTCTTAATTTAGTTGTAGTTGTTGTTTTGTGTGATGTTTGTGATTACATCTTGAGTTGTTTTATATTTTGAATGTTGTGGCGGTGAATTTTATTTTGGTTGATTTTAGATTTGGTTTTGGTTTTGTGGCTATCATAACAGTTTTAGTTTTTATGCAGGGTGACATCATTGTTTAGCATGCAAGTTTGTCATCAAAAGTACAATATGAAAGTACAAGAAAAACGGCGCTGTAAACTATAAAAGCGTATCTGGTGAGTCTTCTCGTTCCACCACCTGAAACTCAAAATGCATGTTAGGGCATTTTATATGAAGCAAGAAAGTAAAATTTTGGCGACCTGCCTAACCTTAGGTCATAGCTTGGAGGGTCCCTATTAGTTTGATTAAGGATGATCTTTGTTAAGCAAAACATATTAAGTTTAGTAGACCTCCGAGGTATCCAACAAGTCTAGAGGAAGAAGTAGGTCCATGCTTCTCTCTAACCGTCTGGTGAAAAGTCTCTAGCTCATTTAAACTTATTATGTTCCTTAATAAATTCATCTTATAAAAATACTTCTAATGCTCAGTGAACATTGATATTTCAATTATCCCTATCAGTAGGGTAATTATCATTTGTGATTTAATTTGTAAATTATGTGGGTGAAAACCCTTGAAGAGCCAAGTTAGTGCTATCAAAGACATTTAGCCAACTTTTTAATTTGGGCTTTAGTGTTTTCAAGATGTTCAATTTTAATTATGTTCATTTTTCTAATCCTCATTTAATCAAATTTGATTTAGCATAGGTCACTACTAAGCCCTTAAGGTTTTGGTGGATGTCTTAGTATATATTTTGGAAGAGATTAAAATTTTTAAGTGATGATGATTCATTTTTAAGACTTTTGAAAATCATTTGAACCTCAAATAAGGGTATTAAATTAGTGAGTTATCAACTTCCAAAGTCATACCCCTATGCTAAGGTTTTTTAATTTAATGAACTTCCAAACTTTAATATTTTAAGGAAATTACAATTTTATCTTTTATTTAACAAAAGTGAGATTGGCTTCTACCAATTAATTTTATTATGTTTCAATCAGCCAAATAAGTTAGTTAAAATCAAAGGTTACCCTTTTCCCTCTTTGAATTAAGCCTAAATGTTAATTAAGACTAAACTTCTAAAATTACACTTTCGCCCCTAAGGCTCTATACTTTATAATTTATCAAATTTAATCCAAATGACTTTGGAGTTTTCATCCCACCTCACTTATGGGTCAATCAAGACATCAGAGGAGAAAATGTGATTTTTCAAAATTTAATTTAATTTACATAATTGTTTATGCAAAAATAGGATTTTTCAAAGAAAATTCCATAACTTGACCAAGACAAAGTATAATCCCTTCAAATTTTTACTGGCAATAGAATTAGATTAGTGAACCATTTGAAACAAATTTCATAATTTATTGAGTTTTTTGTGAATTATTAGAATTATTTTAATTTTTGGAGCATTTATTAATTATAAAATATTTTAAGAGTGGAAAATTAAGTTTTATATTTTTAAAAAATCTCCCTGAGGTCAGAGAACCTAGAAAAAAGTTTTGATATTTTCTTAATTTTTATTTGAGTTATTTGAATTATTTTGGTGAAAATCCATTTTTCACCTTTGAAAAATATTTTAAGATTTAAAATTCAATATCTTCACTTAGAAAATTAGGGAAAATATTCCAATTGTTCTTAAGTACTTAGGAACCAATTTCAAACATTTTCATGAATTTTATTATTTTTGTGATTTTTATCATTTTTTAATTATTTAAATTAAAAATAGGTTTGAAAATGAAGTTTTTGTTTTAATTTCAAATTTATTTTTATAAAATTCCTTCGATGACAGAGAACTCAAAAAACAAATTTTTATAATTTTTTAAGTTATATTTTAATTATTAAAAATTATTTTTGTACCAAAAAAGTCATTTAACTTGAAAAAATCAATTTCAGTTATTAAATGAGCTCCAAATGTTTTGAAATTTTTAATGGGGAGTTCTATGAACTTTGAATCTTAGTAAGGATTAAAAATCAGGTCATTTAGATGTTTGTATTGCCCAAAATTAATTTTCTTTGTGTTTTATGGTTTGTGGAAATTAGGTACATTCTTAATGGCTTAACCTATGAAATATTTTTCAAAGGGTTCTCTGGTCATAGCACACCTTCCAAAATTTTCTTGAAATTTCCTAAGCAGCATGCTAATTATTATGATTAATTCATGCAAATAATAGACATAATCTTAAGAAATATGGCTCTCTGTCCAGAGATTTTTTCTGACTTTGGAAAATCAGGGAATGTTCCCTAAGACAAAGGCATCAATATGCCAAAATCTCAGGCTATGGTGAAATATCTACATGCATGAAGAATCAAAAGACTCAAAATAGTATTTAATTAATTAAAATAAAACGTGCATCAAATAAACCTCAAACTATTTTCAAATTGTTCTCCTCTACTTACTAAGCACCAGAGTTTTTTTATTTTATTTTTATGATTTTTCTACATCAAGATATGAATTTTTGAAGTTAGGAGGCATTTTTTGATTTATTTAAATTCGTATTTATATATTTAAACACGTGGCGCCATGTCAACCTACGGCGGCTCCGAAGCTCCATGCAGCGTGCTCCTATTTGACGCCGCCATCCACCTCAGTGATGACTAGGCTCGTTG